AGGTTTTGGTTGATTTTCATATGAGTTTTATAAAGGATTGTATATGAAAGAATGTAAGGAATAATTCAAAGGAACTCCTATATCTAATTAATTACCCCATTAATTAATTGGTTAATTAATTAATTCCTTAATTAATTGAATTAATCAATTGATTACTTAGTTAAGTAATTACGTAGTTATTTCATGTAATTAATTAAGTATTATGTATTTTCATTTGATTTTGATTGATTTTAAGGGAATTTAAAGGCGGCCCTACCAAATTATTTCAATAAATTCGCCCCCTAATAATAAATAGATTTTGACCACCCGGATCATGTATTATTAGGGGGGGACGTCGTTTATTATTAGGAGGAAGAGATTAATTGGGATGTATGGCACTTAATATTCAGTGGGTACTTAGGCCCTAAAGTAGAGGGTAGGACAAGGGCTCAGGTACCCATGATTCCCATTAGTCCCTTTTTGGGGTAATAATTGAATGCAGCCAAATTCATGTATGAATAGATTCCCGTGTGCAAGACTAATGGAAAAGTTGAAATTATTGCAAAGTATCGTCACAGGAGTATTTCAATCCCGAAGCTCATAAGAAACCTAGATAAGGATGCAAGTCTCTGAGCTTTGACAGTAAGCCCAACCCCTAAAATTCAAGTCCGACTCACCAAACGCTGAAGCCTGAACCCTGAACCTTGCAGTTTAGGGTTTACGGTTGAAGTTCCAATGCCCTGAACTCCCAAGCCCACATGCTGAACTTCAACCGACAAGCCCGAAAGCAAAAAGACCCCAGCCAATCAGACCCGCAGGATCTCCATATGACCCTATATAACCCTATATAGTCACTACGTTACCCCTATATAGCCCCTGCATAGCCCTTTATCCCAAGGGCCTGAACATGCTGCACCCGGCAGCAAACCCTAAATCCCAACCTCTCGACACAGATCCTGCAACCCAGATCACGGACCCCACAGAAATTGACAAGATCTCCAGACGCGAAACACTAAACCCCAATCCCTCAAGCCCCCCCCAAACCCTCTCAGCCCCAGCACCCCCAGCCCTCAACTCCTAAAAACAGCATTCTAGGCCCCAAATCAAATGCCCCTGACCTCCCCCAAAAACCCTGAACCCTAAATACTGAAACCCAGCAAAAACCCTTCAAGGACTTCTACATGCTCGGCGAGCGCTGTCGCCCCGCGCGCAGTGGCTACTGGCCAGCTAGCCAAGCGCAGCGGCTCGCCAACCTTTTGGGACAAGACAGGGACTATGTAAGGTTATATAGGGTTTGCAGGGTCATATAGGGTTTAGGGTTAGGGGATTACATTCGGTTATATAGGTGTTATGTCTGGGTATATAGCGGATTGGTATACGCAGGTACATGGGTCTTGTGGGGTTTAGGGATTTAACCCTTGATCTAAAAAGTCCTTTGGGAATCTACAGGGTGAATGGAAGACAGTTTAGCATTGAGTGTTACATGGGGTTATATAAGGTATACAGTATACGGGTACATAGGTATCATGGGACATGAATTGAAGAGCAAACGGAAGATGAAAAGGACACGGGAAGTTATACAGCGGTCTATAGGGACCCTGGAATGGGAGGTGATCTAAAGGTTCTTTGGGGAAATTATCCGCGGATCCCGTAGGTCTATAGGGAAAAGCATTGGGGGCACCATTTTCCATGAAGAGCATTTTGGGAACGGGAATTTTGATTCACTACATTTTGTTGACTTAGGGTTCAGGGCATAAGGTCCAGGTTTAGGTTTTGGTGTTTTTTTTCGCTGCAGGTCTGCCTTTTCCGTTGTAGGGCCCCTTTTTCGAAATTCCACGTATGCTTCGAGGTGCTACCCAACCTTTGGAACCTTGTGGAAGTTAGAGGCGCATGCATCAAGGAGTAGTTCACAGGATTCTCATTTGAGCTATAGTCTAACCTCCTTAAATGGGGGTTATGTAGGGGATTATATGGGTGACCATTATGGGGGTTATTAAGGGGTACGAGGAGTTTAGACTATAGCCCATTTTGGGGTTATATTGGGGTTACTCTTGGAATCCAGAATGGAGAACAGAGTTCTGGGCTCGAGGTTCCGGAAAGGTGCATAGGGCTACTCCCTCTCCCCCAACATCGAACCCTATATGAGCCTCTGCTAGACCCGAGGTTGTCCACAAAGGGCGCCACCTCAGGTTACAGTTTTTTAGGGTTTAGGGTTTAGGGTAGGTTTAGAAACGTCCAGCAGACCGATGGATGCGATGGACAGTAGAGTTCTTGCCATCATGGAAGAAAGTTAGACATGTCATCAGCATGGCCAGTTGTCCTGTACTATTCTTCATTGATGACATACAGCTTGGCGTAAATAGGGCCCAACAAAAACAATCTACCAAATTCCTAATCATATGGACTTCCAAAAGGGGCCCCGCTTTGTTCAAAAAACCCATATGGTAGTTTCCATAAATATGGGGACCCAATATAGACACCAAGATATCAAATTTCCCATGATATATGCAGGTGTATATATATATATACATACTCGGGAGCCCCCAAAACGGTATCCCTAAGTTTGAGAAACTACTATATCTGTTCGGTCTGCATGTTGAGCAAACCATCTTCTAGTCATGAGGACTCCTAGCTTAGGGTTTATGCGCAGTTAGGACTTTGTGGCAGCCTTAAACCCTAGAACCTTAAACCTTGGGGCCAGAAGATCCCCAAAATCAAGTTCATATTGACCATGAAGGGGAAGGGACGCCTGAGGTACGATCAGGTGACAGCTGTGGCGAGTATGGCAGTGCAGGCCAGTAGAGTAAGGGTCCAAATACGGTTTCCCAAAATTAGGGGTACCTTCTGGGGGGTCCCCATAATACGGACTTTAATATTTTTTTGGGTTTATATTGAGGTCCCTATATTCAGGGAAATTAGCCAAGTAATGTATACATAGAGCCCAAAGTCTCCAAGTATCGCCCAAATCAGAAACCCCAAAGCTCAAATAATGGTTTTCAGAAATTAGAGGTCCCTGAAAGGGGGTCCCTGTAAGAGGCACTACAGTGTTTGGGCGTCTATATTGGGCTCCCCCTGCTCATGGAAACTACCACACTCCAGTAAAGTCCAGAGGATAAACCCTCCAGCATCCCTGGGTCCAGGTAGTATTCCTGATCGCAAAACATATACCAACACAAAAACGAACGGGGCAGAAACCAACAACCCTTACTCCGAATCCTTTCACGAGTTCCGAACCCTTGTTCAGGTAGAGGCGGGGTGCAGAGGTCTGGGGTTACGGGATGCAGACTGAGGATCAGGGTTTACGGTCTGTATGAGACCAGGTCTAAATTTCGGGGGTTAGGAGGTTTAGGGCTTCGGGTTTAGGATACGCAGGTCTGGGGTGGAGGAGTTTACAGGCTCGTTGGCCGTCATAGGAAGAGTTCCCGGTACCTTATGTTGGGTAGGAACAGCGGGCGCTTTACGTAGCGTCGTAGATTCCTCCTCTACTTGTGTCATAGTGCTCCTCAAAGTATCTTGGCAATTTGTTCGGCATCTATGTTGTCTACATTACCACCCTTACCCTAAACCCTCAACCCGAATTTGCCGCCATTACATTGAACCCTAAACTCTAAACTCTAAACCTTGCACTTATTAGTTTCCTCTTGAAGGATATCCTTGACCAAGCGCCTCTACTGGATCCACTCGTGGACTGGGCAACTCCGAGGTTGGCGACCGTGGGGTTACCCAGAGCCCCCAAACACACGCTTGAGTATTTAGGGTTAGGGTTTATACTCCGGCATTTATTGGAAAGTGGATGACTATAAGGAGGTTCTATTTTAAGGGCCCTTGAGGGGTCTGGGTAAGTGTCCTATACCAGCCCAGGGTCTTCTGGGTGTGCGGATTAGAGTTCTGCTCAGGGATTGTTAGATGAAGGATAGCGGATTAAGATTTTGGCGTTTAGGGATCAGGACTGCGGGGTTAGGATTTAGGGCTTAGGATTTTGTAGTTCCTAGGAGTTTCGGCCATAAAGGACATTGGGTTTCTCACTAGATCCTACCCTAGCCTCAGCCTCACACCATGTCACCGCCAAAGGCTTAAGACGGATTCATTTACCAGGATGGGCTATTAGACCTTAAAGGGCCCTTAATCTACCCTTATTAAGGTACTAATGGGGAATTTTAGACTCTAATAGCCCATACTGGTAGGGCATATTTTGATTTTTTTTCTGGGTCGAGAGGTTTAGCGCAGGAGTAGTGCAGGATCCCATCGTCCTCATCTGGCGCTCACGATGTTGGTTACCGTAGGCCCCTGACCCCCACCCCTTGATTTGGATGTTGAGCCCTAAACCTTCAAACGCAGGGTATTGTAGACGTGCTGAAAATTAGTTAAACATCGTGACGAAGTTTGGGCTTAAAAAGGGTCACTTATAGTAGTTTCCATTTTCTTTTCCATTATCCCTATATAGCCCCTATATATACCCTATAACCCATTGTAGTAGTTTCCATTTTCTTCTCCATTATCCCAATATAAGGGAGCTTGAGCTTCTGGGGTCTCAAGCTTTAGGTGGCGTAGTCATCTTAAACTTCTCCGTGGCGGCTCTCCAAAGGGTCTCCAAGGCTGTAAAAGCTTCTTAATTCGGACCCTGGAGTCCATAACTCGTACCTACTTTGGGGTATTTGGATGCTAGGTGCGCTGTACTGTACATTACTGTAAGGGTGTTGGGCCAACTGCAGCACAGTACTGTAACTTTACCTGCCTTAACTCCGGTTAGCAGGCAAGAATTGCATAGAAAATAGATACAGCTGTATTTTTGGGAAATGTGTAAGGGCTACTATATGCATGCATTTCAATCCAGTCCTTGCTTACCAGAGGTAAGCCAGGTAAGCTGGAGGTTCCTCCACGAATGGTTTGGTCACGGTTGTCGGGAAGGTTTTTGGAATGTGGTCATATTCGGAGGTCATAGAAAATTCTGGATAAACCTTAAATCCGCAACCCTACACACCAAAGGCGAAAACACTAAATCTAAAACCCTACAAACCCAGTCAACCCTAAGAAGTCCTGTGCCCCAAGCCCTAGACACCGCAAACCCAGCACCCTGCGCCCTGTTTTCTTACACCCAAGGCTCTCTCAAACCTTGAAGAACCCTCGAAGCCTTACGCCCTAGGAAAAGCATTGATTCCCCGAGGCAATGAATGCTAGACTCTGACCGCTGAACTACGAGCCCGAATTTTCGACACACTAAGCCGTCTTCATCTCAAATAACCCATGTCCCTGAGGCTTAGCCAAATGGAAAGCCAGGTTGCTTAGAAAACCCTGCTACACCTGACCTCACCCCAAATCGTGGTTTGCATGGAAGATAGTCCCAACGTAATACAAAACAAAAGCCTGGCAGCTACTCCCCCAACCTTAAGGCTTAAAACTCCGACCCCTGAGAGCAAAACTCTACTGTAGGGGCCGAAACAATCACGAACATCATGGTTCTAGATTTCTTATAAAAATAGTGCGCAGGGTACCTTCGACTCCAAAATGACATCGGCAATTATTTGGGCTTCTGTACTAAACTCTTATTTGCTGGACTGTGCAGGGCCACGCCTGCCTCAGACTCCGGAAGCTTGGGCTTTACAGGGAAGGCTAGTATGTAGGGCTTGTTGCAGGTTCTAGAGTCTAGGGTCGGTTTAGGGTTTCAGGGTTTAGGGTTCAGGGCTTCGGGTTTATAGGGTTTAGGGTTTCAAGGCTTTGGGGGGTTTTTGGCTTAAGGGTTTTAGGGTTTCATGGTTTAGGGGCTTTTTCCGGCTTGGAGCTTTTGGAGGCTTAGGGCTTGAGAGTTTGAAGCTCTTGGCACACAGGGGGTGTTTGGCTGTTTCGGATTTCGGGGCTTGGGGATGCGGAGTTTCCCATAGGTGTGTGCATATCTATATACAGTTCTATACATACATGTATATAAGAATATGTATGCAGAGGAGGTGCGCATAAATCTGTCTCACACTCTAAAGGAATTGCATCAAGTTCTTTTCCAATTCTGTACTGCAAATCCATGATGGCATTTGGGGCGCGGGGTTTCAAGTGTGGCGATTGGATAGGAGATATAGTCCCCCTTCAGTAGATAGAATGTGGGGTATATGCTGATCTTATTATAACATGCCCAAAGCCATATTTTACCTACTTAAGGCAGACTATAGGTGTACGTAGGGTTTAGGTTCAGGGTTCAGGGTTTAGGGTATAGGGTTTAGAGTTTAGAGTTTAGGGTTTAGGGTATAAGGTTTAAGGTTGAGGGTATAGTCCTGCAGCAAAGATTGCGCAAGCAAATGCATTTCTAATGATGGCAGTTAAAGCAGCTTCCGCATCCAAACTGATGCAGGATCTTCTCTTCCTGTCGACAATCCTGTTACTTCGTGGGGGTTTCCGAAACTTAGGGGGCTCCATAATAAGGACAACAAAATTGTGTGGTCTACATTGGGTTCCCTATTTATGGCAGCTGCCAGGCATGGTTCGGAGTGCAATCACCTGTCTTTGCTAGCCCAGGAACAGGACACAGTTGTATCTGCTCGCAGTTGAAAACCACAAGTCTGGCATCCCAAACGCGAATCTTTGAAAGCTCATCGGAAAAGCCCGAAGCTTCAACCATTTTCCATATGAGCCATAGTCTAAACTCCTTAAAGGGGGTTATACAGGGGATTATATAGGGGACTACTACAGAGGTTATTAAGAGGGATACTAGGAGTTTAGACTATAGCTCATATCATATGCTCCACATGTCTGGCCTCAAGCCAGCATGCGCAAGCTTTGTACCCCTCAAGAAATCAGCGGCGATTCCTTGCAGTCCAATCCGCGTCGGGGTATATGGAAAAATCAGGGTGGTGTGGGGTCAGCGGTGCTTATTAACATTGATGAGGGCAGCATTCACATCAAGCCCTATAAGCCTTAAGCCGTAAATTCTTAAGTCCAAGCCCAGGCCTTAAACCCTGCGCATGTAACCCCCAAACCCGACGCTTTCAACCCAAGACCCAGAACCAACTCCAAGGAAATGCCTGGTGCGGCTGTGACAGCATCTCTCGTGCCTCAAAGCGGGCATAGCTACAGAAGTCCCAAAAGGGAAGTCTCTGCAACTCTCGAAGTAAACATGAAACCTTTAGGTTCCACCAAAATGAACATCGCATGGAAGCGCAAAAAGGGTCCTATAAAAACTATTGTCTACTGTCCTTTCGCACAAGAAGGCTATATGGACTTCCATGTTTGGGGCGGGAAGGGTTGAGGGTTTAGCGTACCCCTGCGGATTGTGCGTGCATATGCAGGCTTTCTACAGTAAGGACCTCGAGGAGACGGGGTCCCCCATTCGGCAGATTTTCTGAAATAATCTCTATGTAATTCTATCAGGCCCCCGGACTACTTGGAAACGTAGTTGTTAGCCGGGGGAGGGTGTTTGTAATCAGGACCCCACATTAGTCCTAGCGCACCATACAAGCCTTACATAGGCCTTACGTAAGGGTACCCACCTGGTAACTACCCACCTGAGAATTCCCTTAACTGTACTCCTTGCATTGCCAGGCTCGGGGCCCTCCCTCTCGTGGATGCCCGGCGGAAGAAGGTTCCCAAGGAGGCTTGGAGTTCAATGGAAAGGAAAATGGAAACTACTATCTTATATAGGGTTATATAGGCTATATAGGTGTAATATTGGGATATATTGTGGTTACTTAGGTTCATATTATGTGGAGGAGGAGATCAGGGCTAAGGGGTTCAGGGAGTAAACATGTGGGGGACAGTTGGGATTGGAGGGTTTGCGGCGTGGTTTTGTGGCCATAAACTTATTTCGCTGAACCCTAGTGCTTTGAATGACAACGGGAGATGTACTAGCTGTTTGGTTGATTTGCTCATAGGCCAGATTCTGTCGGACTAAGTCTATGGAGGGGCAACATGTCTAGGCAGGTCATGAGATTTACAACTGCACATCTTGTGAAACACGATTGGGGCCGATCCTCAACCGATAGCCGTAAAACTTGCATGACCGATAGCGGCCACCCCTTTCTCATAGTCCCTGCGCTTTGCAAGGGCATTAGTCCGGCACTCATTTTACCATGAGGTATATACTTCAACCCCCTTGGCCTGTGCATGCAGTATATGTGCATACCAGTACCATATACGCGTTTATACATGTAGATGTTCGCTATATGTGCAACATTTGCGTATTTGTTTTTGTGCTGCGCAGTCCCACTACAAAGTTTCTACATCCTTCTAGACCCTTTTGCCGACATCCCATTGCTCTCTTACCTACTTGCTTATGCCTTCAAAACCAAAAATTCCCCGCCTCTTCATCCTGTCAAAATTGCCGACCATTCTATAACACATCACATTATGCTTTAACACATTATAATGCACAACATAAGAGCATAACTACAACACAAGATGCGAGGTGCAGAGCACAGAGCTTTTGTCAAAGGGTGGGTGCCGCTGCTCCAGATTGTAACAACTAAGCCAAAACCCTGCAACTCTTGTGAGAGCCGTATCACAGCGATACAGTCCTTACTTTTCAGGGAAACCCAAATCCCCTTTTGTTCCCTGAGTTCTGAACATGGACTTCCGAAATTCGCCCAGACGCCGCGAGATTGGGCCGCGGAGCTGGCCCAGGCCGAGCAAGCTTTACTTCAATGACTTTATTTTTTGGCCTTTAGTGTCTGTAACCGTAGGTTTTGGGTCCCAAGTACCCTTATGAAGGGCCATATTCCATGGTTTAAGGACCCAAAATCCAGGGGTACAAACCCAAGGGGTACAAGGATATCCCCCTGATTTACTTGGACCTCCCAAGTGCGCATGATAGTGGCCTTCAACCCCAAAACTGCAGTATGAAGTTATGGGTAGCTGTCAGGTCTAGGAAGAGTTTAGGTGAGGTTTTCTTCCAGAAAGATTTCAGGAAGAGAAGAAGCACATGCTTAAAAATGGAGTTGACAGGGTTTTAAGGAAGCGTTTAGGGCTTCAAACAACTTTGGCCCGCTTTGGAGAAAGCTTTCTTAACGGGCTCCGGTGCAAGAGGATGGCGTGGTGTTTTTGAGAATGCTACGAAATCCATCGGTAGCTTTTATTTCGGCACCAATTCCTCTAAGATATGGGGCCAGATTACCAACAAAAGCTTCCCACCTTGCTACTACAAAGATCGACTCCCCCTTTGCCTACTATTCACCATTGGGGAGCGCTTGCCCAACAGGTCCAAGTGCCTGTGCAGTGTAAATTTGGGACTCGACAGAGTTCATATGCATATGTATATATATATACATATATATAATCCGTTCCCCATATTAATAAAACCCACCCGAATAATAAATAATCAATCCGGGACCTTAAAAATTGCTCATGAGCATTTTACAAGGGGCTG